TGGGCCTATAGTGAAAGAAAGAAACACACCCCCTGGGGAAGTTTTGTATGGGGTCCCCCTAACCAACTTTTTTAGACTGAAGAAGCTGCTTGGACAAGTAGCGAAACGCCTCTACCAAAAAAGAAAAGAAGTCCAGTTGCCATAACTCAACCTCCAGACGATTCCACCTGGATGACTGAAATTTTCATAAACATATGCCCAGAAACAATTGTTGAGGTGGGCAGCTATACAAATTGATTTAATAAATAAATGTCTGTTCTCCTCTCCCTCTGTATTTTCATGAAATATCAGCCACCTTACTGTCCACTCCCTGGAGGTCTTCTGTGTATTTTCTGGAAACTTTGCAAGATCCCATGTGAGACCAACATTGTGCAACCCTTGTTCACCTCTCCGAACATCACCTGTGTTTAAATAAGATGATGATGATGATAGAAAGACCTGCAAATAGAATGACTATGGCAAAAGAAAGCAAAGGTAGTACCAATAGTTATAGGCGCCTTGGATGCAATCCCCAAACATCTGGAGCACCACTTGAAGACCATCGACATTGACAAAATCACCATCAGTCCATTGCAAAAGGCAGCTTTACTTGGAACAGCTTCCATCCTGTGATGATACCTTTAACACCATCAAAGAACCACATCTGCCTATCCCGGGTCCTTGGGAAGGTCTCGATAGGTGGATAAAAATGCCAAATCCAGTCTAAACATCTGGCTGACTGTGCCACCAACCATAGTAATAATAATAATAGCAATTGTGGGGAGTCTGTAGATGCCTTATAGGGTTAAAGCTGATACCTTGGTGCCTATGGAAGTTGGGTTCCTGCCCTGTTCGGCATACTGTTGGGAATGGTGGGAGCTACAATGCAAAATATATAATGCTGCCCTTGAAGATCATCTGGAAACTACAGCTAGTTCATAGTGCAGTGGCACACGCAGTAATGGGCACTCTTCCCTATGGCCAAGTGTCACCGCCGCAGTGTAAGCTGCACTGGCTGTCAGCTGGCTTCCGGGTGCAATTCAAGGTGCTGGTTGTTACCTTTAAAGCTTTCATGGAGTAGGACCTGGTTACTGAGGGACCTCCTTTCTCCCATTGTTTCTGCCTGCCTGGTAGGTTCATAAGAGCATAAGTGGGTATGCTCCGGGGCCCTTCTGTTGAACATTGCCATTTTTGAGACCTAGGGGTGTGCCTTTTCTGTCACTGCCCCCGCCTTCTGGAACAGCATCTCCCCAGAGATAAGGATGATGCCCTCTCTCTTAGGGTTCTGGAAAGCTCTGAAAACCTGGCTTTGGTCCCAGGCCTGGGATTAACGTTTTGAGGGGATGCCTATCATGTTGTGTTTTCTAGTGGCTGTTTTAGTCCAGGCTATCTTGCTTTGTTTATATTTTTAATTGTTTTAACTTTGCATTAGATGTTGAATGCCAGCGAGAGTGTATTGGAGTGGGTGGCCGTAACAAATTTAACTAAATAAATAAAATATCTGATGGGCATCAAGTTGAGAAGATGGAATTATGCTGGTTGGGAACATCTCACCAGGGCTTCAGAAAAGCCTGGGGTCGTGTACACAAAGCAGTGCTCTCCATCTCTACAGCCCTTCCCCCACCACTCATTGTCTAACATCTAAATCCCTGGATCATCTTTAGCTCCATGATCAGGAAGACCAGCTGGACTGGATCCTCTTCCATGACGTTGTGGTGACCTCCAAGATTTACTTGAGGACGGTGTGTCCAATTCGTTACGTGTGGGTGCAGGATCTGCTTCCTCGGCTCCACCAGATTGATGCTTATGAGCTGAGCAGCATGGCCCGGGAGAATGTGACAGAGGAGGAAATGGCTAAATGGAAGATGAAGGAAGCCCTCAAAAGACAGAATGGTGAGCTTCAAAGTGCTGGGACTACCAGAAAGTCATCCATGTCTATGTTGTGTGCTGAGACAGGAGGAGATGGTTGATGGATGTGGATAGGACTCTCGCTCTTTCCTCATTTTGCACTCTGATCTTTTGTCTTTAGAAGGGGCACCGGATGAGCCTGCCAAGAAGATGGAGAAGCGGAATGACGAGCAGTCAATCAGAGATGCTCGCGCACGGTACCTGGAGAGGAAGCACCAAAGACTGCAGGGATCCAGCATCTCTTCCAAGGACTCCAGCTAACCCAGTCACTGTGGCCCAGCGATTGCTATAAATGCAGTTCCTGTGTGATCATTTGCATTTTTGGATCAGAGCCTACGCTGCTGGTACTAGCTGGGAAGAAGACAACCTGGGACGCAGGAGAGTCCAAAGAATCACCTAAGTCCTGCAGGGGCAGAGTTACAATCGGGTATACAAGGACAGTCAGCAGAGATGAAGCAGCATCGAGGGTTGTAGCTACTAGTTGGAGTTGGAGAGAATTTCTGTTTTCTTGCTGAGGCCCTCTTCCCTTGCGAGATACATTTTAGGGATCAGTATTACATCTTGCAGATCCAAACCAACATGCTAGGTAGGTTGCTAAGATGCAGGTGAGGCTGTTTTGATTGCATTGGCCCCAAACTCCAGCATTTCTATACACCACCCAGAGTCGCTTTTTTGTGAGATGGGTGGCTATATAAATATAATCAATCCATCCATCCATCAAATAAGCCCAAATTAGTTTACCTTCACCATCTCTGATTTCCCTTGCATTGTACCCCAGGAATTGTAATAACAGGAAAATTCATTGGGGGCAACCAGGACACTGTTAAAAAGCCAGCCTGCAGTTGTACTGAAATCAATAGCAACACTGATGAGGATTTTTGATGGCTGAACAACAGTGCACCATTGTAATAAATCCTGATTCTTTCTCTTTCCCAAGTTGGAGGAAAAGATCCTGAAATGAATATATTTAACTATTTGTAGATCTTATTTAATGTTTTAATGTACAGCCATTGATGTTTTTCCTGGCTGGTGCAATTTGAATTTGGCGTATCACGTCAGAATTGTTTGGGTAAGTAAAATTTTCAAGCAGGACTATAATGAGCTTTTGTGTTTGGTTTGCTGTTTCATATGACCGTGCTGCATTGTGTGCGCATAATATATTCTGCAGCAGCTGCTGTTGGTTTGTAAAATATGGAAATAAATTTTGTATACTTACTATAAATCTCTGATGGCTCAAATTGCATTTCTGCCTGAGCATATTGTCTGTCTGATGGAGACTGCTGGAGACTGCCAGCCAAGAATGAACATTAGTCTTGGATGACAGCAATGTTCTTTTTGTAGATTTATTTATTTATTTATTTATTTATTTATTTATTTATTTATTTATTAAATGTATTTCTGTGCCTGCCACAATCCAAACGACTCTTGGCGGCTTATGCAGGGAAAAAAAAAATCCAAAATAAAACATACCTGGGACAAAAAATGTTTTTGCACGAGGGAAATAGGGTGAAGAAAGATGACAATGTTCAGCCACAACGGGAAGGGTCTCCATAACTCATTTCTTTAAGAACTTTCAAAAGACTAAGAGGGAGCCTACCTGATCTCCATCGTTCTACTATTGTATTAACCCTGTACACACACTACACCAAATGGTGATGTGGTTGGCTTGTATCGTGTGAACTCAGCCAGTGTGGCAGGTAAAACTTCCAAAGAAGTTAATGCCAAAAAGTATTTTTAAGAGGCCACAGACCCTGACTTCATGCAACATTCCTTTTAGGTCTAAAATACAAAAAAATCTTGTTTAGGGGCATCTGTGGGTAGGGAGGGCGGGAGAAGTGCCAAAAATGTAAAAAAGGTGGTCATGAATGCACAATTGAAGTCCTGCCCCCTTTTTTTTTAATCCGGGTTGCAACACAAGGGGAGGGGCTTCAGTTGTGCAGTCATGACCATCATCTTGTGTTTTTGACCTCCCCCACTCCCCATGGACACCCCTGGAGGAAATTATTATTATTAGATTTTTATCCCACCTTTTTTAGATAGATAGATCAATCAACTCAAGGGGATGGACATACCTAATACTCCTGCCTCCTATTCCCCCCAACAACCACCACCTTGTGTTGAGAGAGAGTGACTTTAGGAAAAAGTCTAAGTGGAAGAGGGACACCCCAGAATAACCCACTGGGAATTGGGTACACCCAATGAGAATGGATGGCCATTGATGGCTACAAAAACGGAGGGTAGGGAGAGAGTGAACAGAATGAGTGAACAGTAGCAATCTGTGTTGCAAACATTTGTAGTTGGACCCATTTGTAATTGCTGAACACCGGCAAGCTTATGAATGTTATGCTTATTTCTCACCAAGAGTTCTGGGAATATATTTTCTTTTCCAACCCAAAGAGAGCCTGGGTAATTTCTTTCTCAGGCAGCCCAGATATTTCTCCCTCAACCCTCAGTTCTCTACTGTTATTTTCCTTCCAGGATTAAGAGTAGATAAAGCTACCATGAAACACTCTTACATAAGAAATCCTTGAATTCCTTTGCTTTGGAGTAATTCATCATCCTGACATGTATTTTTGGAACAATGAATGGTAACACAGGTATGTGAACCCATTTGAGGAAATATTTATGAGATATGAGCTGCTGTTATTTGCAAGAGCTGACATATGATAGAACAGTGTTTCTCACCCTTGGCAACTCTAAGATCTGTGGACTTCCACTCCCAGAATTCCCCAGCCAGCATGGGGAAGGGGAAGGGGAAGTGGAAGTGCACACCTCTTAAAGCGTGCTGGCTGGGGAATTCTGGGTGTTGAAGTCCGCACATCTTAAAGTTGCCAAGGTTGAGGAACCCTGCTTTAGAGGACACAGAAGGCTGGACTACCTGGGTCCACCAGATCTCGGTCAGATCCAGCAGGGCTCCTCTGGTGTTCTTTGGAGGAACACAACAGCATCGTTCCTAAGAATATGAAAGCAAATTTGAACTGAATATGAAAGTGGTCTAAAACCACTGTTAAAGATTGGGGAAGTTTTTTATTTTAAAATGTTAAGGCTTTTAACATAAGCAGAATTGTTACGTGTAAACATATAAAAAGTTACTTCATTCTATTGCCGCTTTAGTTTCTCTTCTGCCTCAACATCTAAATTTAGGCTGCCATTTCTGCAAATCATGGGCCTAGACACTTCTGCTCTGCAGTGTTGTAAAGTGCTTCATATACTGATTGTACCATAGTAATGTTGCATTATCATCCTTTCTCACGGGAGGATAGAAAAGAAAAATGCAACACGTCAAACTCTTCTTGGGAATAGGCGGAATGATTGTTAAGTGCACTAGTTCTACCCTGATTATTGGTTCCAAATTTAGCCACTTTTTATGATTGTTTACGTAAGAATTAGGGCCTGGAGAAATCTGGAGCTTTCTATGTTTGGCTTCCAGGAACGGGATCCTTTTATACACCGAACAGGTTTGCCAAGCTCTGAACATTACAATAACGGAGTTGGCTGGTTGGTTGCAAAAGCCAATTAACTCCTGCAAGGAAGAGGATAGATAATGCGGAAAGTGGAGCTGAGTGTACAGCCCAAGAGCCTTCATGCATGACTCGTGGCTTTGCAGCATTTTGTTACAGGTCTCTCCAGTGTCCTTGGCATGCCCATGTAACACGGGCCAGAGTCACTGGACTGAGATGGCGCGGCTATATAAATTGAATGAATGAATGAATGAATAAAACACCTCCGCTTTGTGAGATGCATTGGCTGCCAGTCTGCTTCTGGGTGCGGTTCAAGGTGCTGGTTGTTACCTATAAAGCCCTGCGTGACATAGGGCCTGCTTATTGGTGGGGCCACCTCTCTCCCCTAACATCTCCTTGGCGCGCTCTGGGTTCCTTCGATTCAACAATGCCATCTATCCGGACCCTGAAAGCGTGCCTTTTCTGTTGCAGTGCCTGCCCTCTGGAGCAAGGTTCCCCCGAGATCCAGATGGCCCCCACTGTGGCTCTTCCAAAGAGCAGCAGAGTGGTTCAGAAGCACAAAAGACTTGGCTCTTCATGCAGGCCTTTGGGGAGGGAGAGGGAGACCCCTGGCTTCATGGCGCTGGCCGTTTTTGATCTTTCATTGACATTTCTTTTGATGGTTGTGAGAATGGGGCAGCGTACAGTGAAGTCTGATGATAATGACTGCTGCAAAAAGAAAGGAGCATCCATGTTCAAAGGCAGTATATCTTCCAATATCAGAGGCTTAAATGGCTCTCATGCTTCCCTCTACATTTCCTTTCTCAGAAGCTTTTTCTGGGGTCTAAAATTGAACCCCATATATTTGAGTTTAAGGCATTTACCTTACCCCAAAGAAACACTGCTTTGAATCAAGCCAACATGTGCATTAAACAATGATGCGTTGCTTAACTCTAATGAATAAACTCGTGATATTTGATAACACACGATTGTTAGAATGGCTCTGCATTGTCTTGCATACCGAATATATATCGCTCCATAATCGGAAGTCGCCGTTTGTACCCTACTTTCATTTTCTTTTTCTAAGGTCACCGGTCCAAGGTCACCCTACGCTGTGGCGCTGGCGGGATTCGAACCCACAACCCCCACCCCCAACAACCCCCACTTCCCGGCGCCGTTTTAACCTCTGCCCTAGCAGAGCCGCGCCGGCGCAGAACTTCGCGAGGGGCTCCTTAAGCATTACAGCGGGAAGGCAACAAGGCGCTACTTCCTCCGCCCTAGAACGTCCACCTTGCGCGTCTTTTTTTTAATTCTAACCTCCGACCATGTGATCCGAGGACGGGCGGGGCTACTCTGGGAACGGAAGTGACGTTCGCCCCCGCCCATGTCGCATGATGTGGCAAAAAAAGGGGGAGGGAGGGAGACCCAGCGCTTCGGGGGCGGGGCTTCGGTACGGCGAACCACGACGACGCGGGGCGGCCGAAAAAAAAGTTCCTTCCGGCTTTCCGTATCCCTCCGCTGAGTCCATTGATTCCTTACGTGGGCGACGTTCCCCTTCGGTACGATCCTTCCGCCGCTCGGCTAATCCGCGGCAGGTGAAGCGCAGGCAGAGCGAGGATAAGGTGGAGGCGCGGCCGATGCACTCTCTTCCCTGAGGAGGCCCGTCGGTGT